TTCACCTTTTCCCATGGAGAGACAGCTTTCAGGAGGACCAGTCGACAGGGGTTAATATTTTTCTCTTTTTTTATTTCTTAATTTGGTGTAGCCTATTTTTTCTTTATTTCTATTTGTTCATTAGCATGTACATTCTTCACTATGTTAGCTTGTATTTTTGTGGGTTCCCATGTTCTGAGTACTGTTACTTTTAGTGAAGTATTGTCCCAGTGCTATGACAGTAATTCCTTATAATGACATACATTGAACATTAGATAGATGATTGCCCTTTATTCCATGCATAGCCATGACGAATGATGATTGCGTAATTCGTCGTTTATCCAAAAAAGCATTTCTAATTCACAACCATTTTTTTATAGGGACTAATTTTTTCCAGTGGGCCAATATTATGATTTGCGATAATGGCAAAAAGATCCAAGAGAATAACTCAACTTCGTACAATGCACTTAAGAAAAATATTGGTACAACAGGACAAATGGATCATGTTGGCCATACGCCTCAATCAAAAATATTAAATACTAATCGAACAAACAGAACTGAAAAACGATGTATAAGCTTTCATTTAGCGTGAATAATTTAGCCTGCTAAGATGGTATCCGAAATAAAGTGGATGACTGGACTGGAAAACATTAAAGAAAGGGCGTTGATTTGAATTTCAGAGGCCCAGTGTGTTAGGATTTTAGTGGCAATGTGGTTCCGCAAGGACTGTTACCCCACTCCTTTGCCGTCAACCCCGTTTTTCCAAGCTGCAAAGGAGAACTCCCGCCATCCGGTCGGCTGCGAAAAACAGCCTTATCTAGAAAGGCCCCAGGGTGTTTGGTTGTCCATTCTGGGGCAACTGTAGAAACAATGGTTCGCGTCTCCACATGGGGCCGCCACGGAAGGGGACAGCCGTGTCTGTAGATAAAAAGACTACTGCTAACAAAAAAACAAAAGAAAATTTATACACTAATGAAAACAATACCTGCAAATTTATATTGCATTTCTGCCAATTAGATCCTCCTACATTTTACACACTACCTTAACCAGACATCTGGTACTTGCAATGCTAAATGGTTCAAATGATCTTTGGTTATTTTACTGTACCCTTGTTTGAAAGTTTCTCAGATACCAACTGTCTTGCGATACAATATCTTCAGACAAGATCATACATAAATTGTGGTAGCATGTAAAGTGCTTTTCAAAACAGTTATACTTTCATTTTCAAAAAGTAGCCCACCTACTCATACCAAAAAAATTATAATAACTGATATAATAATGGATATGAAACATTCCCAGTTAATAAACATGAACTGATTACTTTTTTTCCAAAACACTTAACACATTATTGCATTTAATGCATCTTAGTACATTTTGACGTATTCTGTGCATCACATTCAAACTGACACAACGGCCCAAACACTTGATGTCCAGAATGAAATTTGAACAAAAATATCTTCTCATTGAAACAGCGAGGGAACAAACCAAAGCCCCTATAGATGACTATTCTAGATTGAAACAGCTCATTATCCTTTAGGTGTCATGAAAACAGTACATGCCACATGATGTTGCTACTGATGAATTCAGCGCTCCATCTAATCAGATGTTCGGGTGAGCAGCCATCATTACAAAGCTCTCCTCCATGTTGGAACACAGCAGGAAAGAAGTCGACTAGCCGTGGTTGTGATCAGCATGCTGCGTGGTCGGGCTGGACTCAATGCTTGGGTCTGGGACACCTGTCCAGCCTCCTCAAGGGCAGCCTGTAGACACTACACACATCACACACACACACACACACACACACACACACACACACACACACCAACACACACACACACACACATCAGTATGCATGTGCAAAGACCCATATCACGCTGTACTCCTATATTCAAACACATAGATTAAAATAATTTCAAGTGGGGAGGCAGAATTTCAACTGTGCATATTTAATGTAGTTAAATAAAAAAAACTTTCTGTGCCTGCAGGTTTACAGTAAACAACAGCAAACTGTAGTAATACTGTAATAAATTCAACCCTACCAAGCAAGCAGTGTGTTTTAATAACACACTGTGATTTTTCGTTCAACATCTCATGTGATTTCAGGAGAGCATCAGTGCTGTGTGTGACGTCTCAAACTAATTCAGCCAGGAGAGCCTCCAACATTTACATTTAAAATTACAAATGATCTGTGAAAGCTCAGCCTCCTTTGAAGGTAAAAATTCAACACCCACAAATGCTCTACTTAACCCTTGGCTAAAAGGATAAAATGGAATCACATTAATTTGAATAGACTGACAAATGTGGTTACAGTGAAGAGGGCATTTCTGGGCGCAGCGAGGCAGCCCAATTAAGCCCCTGACCATTATGCGCTTCAAATCCCCTCATCGGCCCTAAGATCTAGTCTTGATAATTATGATCAGAATTAGAGAATGATAAAGTACAAGCAGGGAGATTATTCATGATATGTACATATTTAAACATACAATGTTTGAGATGATGTGTCAGCTATCTCAACATGGTTTAAAGATACTGGTTAGTTGTGATGATTTTCAGATATTGCCCTGTGGATGTAATTAAATTGGACAGTCATTTGGTGCACTGATGTTACACGTGGAGCCCTATAGTATAGTGCCCTCAGTTTGTACTATAAAGCGAGTGCAGGTAATAGTGCAATAAGCAGTTTGAATGTTTGAATGATATATTTGTATTCAGGACATGGAGTTATTTACATTTATGAGGCTGCACACACAAGAAACACACACTTTATACCTACCAGGCAAGCGACCAGCACTGAGTCACTGTTATTTCTCTCAGTAGGGGAGCGACACAGTTCAATAAGACGAGGAACAGCTAAAGACAGGAGAGGTAAAAGTCAGTTACAAGCCCATTCTTAGACACTGATATCATCTATAAACAGTGGCGCACAGAAGAGCAATTGTGTACAGGAAAACATTACTTTTTGTAATGCTGAAAATATTCCTAAAATAAAGTCAGTTTAATAAAGAAGTTACATTTAGGTTCAAATAATAATTGCAAAATAAATGTGACTGTAATCCGATACAATTACTAAGAAAATGATGATTACAATATTGTTTTTTTGGTAAAAAAGCATATATGTAGAATATAATATTCATTGATTTGAATTCAAGGGTAGGCTGGCTTACAAGGTGCTGTCTCTACAGATAGACAGGCTCTATTAATTGGCCAGTATGCACTCAAATCAATGGTTCCTTTGTTTGAATCTGCAGCATCTGCCAATCAAATCAATGAGCATTGCTCTAGACACTCAGTGTTGAGTACGGTTGTGAGATTTACACTGTCTGGTTTAAATTTATATTTTAAATGCTTTATTGCCCAGTTTAAAACATGTATTAGAAAAGTAATCAAAACATACTGAAATGTAATACGTTACATTACTTCATCAAAGTACTAACTACTAACTTAAAGCAGTTACATTAATTTTTTTACATTTATCTGTAACCCATTGCAGTTCAAAAGCAACTTTCCCAATGCTTATTATTATGTTTATAAACCACTAATGTTCCCTTTGCTTATTAAAAAAACGTGTCTTTTTGCACTTTCTTTGTTTTTTTTCTCAACTTTTTTCTGCATTAGTTAACAACACTATTTAATGAAGAATAAACAGTGTAACAGTGTTGTAACAAAACTGAAATTCTGCACTACCTTTTAGCTGGATGGCTGTTTGAGCCACATCAGAGTCTCTGCTTAGACGGGCCAGTGTGACAGCAGCTTTCTGCTGAACACGCTCACAGGCGGCGCCCTCTGATGGACTGGAGGAGGACGGCTTTTCTCCTAGCAGAAGCAGCAGTCGCTCTATTCCTAAAAGACACAATTTACAGTGCACATTAGTCAAGCAAGAAATCAAGGAAACAAAGATGTCAGGAAGGATAGAAATGTACAGAAGTACAACAAGCAACACAGTCAGAAAGAAACTAGACTAAAGAAACACATCTACATAAAACAGACAAGCAATAAGTTAGATAGGAACCTGACACCAGAAGCAGATGATTTTAAAATTTTACAAACATAAAGTTACACAAGATTCTGACAAAACAAAGTGCTCAGGAGCCAGACATTATTACACACGTCACTGTCAAAAATGATTTATAAGAAGAAGAAGAAAGAAAAAGATTAGATTAAAACAGCATCCTCACTCAGGCTTTTAGGTAATTACATATAATTTTTTAGATTTACTCTAATATTCACAAGTGCTGAGGCTCACTGCTTCAGGACGATTGCAGGTACAAAGACTTTGACAAGCTGACTCTGAAACAATTCAATTCAATTCAATTTCAATTTAAATTTGTATTAGCGGCCAATTCCATAACAGAAGTAATTCAGGACACTTTTATAAAAAACACTTTCAAATTAGAGCAGCGAACTCCTTCTAAAATTTACAGAGACCCAACAGTACCACCATGAGCAAGCACTTGGCGACACATATGCACACATGCGTATTCTAGAAGTATAAATATTTTTGGCTATTCTATGATCAAATTTTGTAAATACTCACTATAGGAGGCAAGAGCAAGCCACACAATTTATCTGGAAACACTGAGGGACCAATACACATACTGAAAACATATTCATCAATCCATGAATTAAAGCATAGAAACAATGGAATATGTGTTGCACAGAGTGGACTCATAGCCGAAAATTTAAATAGTGAAAATGAAGTAATGAAAAGAACATTAAAATACATTACAGGTGTCTGAAAGTATCTGCATATGATCTGTGGCTGTTGTCATTAAGTCCTGCCAGGTCCCTTCACAGATATTATCTGATGCTGCCATCTTGAGGATTAATAAAGAACTTGTTCTTGCTTGTACATCAACTTTTGGGTATTGTTGGTGCATGTCCTTCATCCAACAGCAGTTTTGCTGATAAAAAATAACAATGCTGTGTAACATTCAAGAACAAATTATAATTGAAAAATGGTTTACCTTGTTCTTGCAGGACTTCAGAAGCACACTGCTCTAAAACTGACAGGTTTGCCAAGATAGTCACCACCTGAGATTAAAAGAAAAAAAAACATGATGAATAGTTTGGCACATTTACTTTTCTAAACATAGTTTGTCCAGAAGGTATCTCTTGAAAATGCACACTGTTTTCTATACCATACCACTTCACTAATACACTTCAATTTAATACATTCCCAGCTACTGTAAGAGCTGTCTGGTATGATCACAGTATCTGCTGTTTTGCTACAGAACAGCTCATCAAACTGCTGAAGGGCTCCTCTAAGCCAGAGTCATTCACAATCATCCTCCCTATAGGTTTTTAATGTTATAATTTTGGTACTTTTTCTATTTAGTTTTTTGTGAGAAAAAACACTGAAACATGTACCTGGTCTTTGGAGTAGGGTGTGTCGACTCTCTGGCGGTCTCTGCAGGCCTGCAGCAGGATCTGGATGGCGTTTAGCTGCAGGAGAATCTCACAGGCCATGCTGTCAAAAAAGGTGATATTGGCCAAGGCTGCAGATGCCAGGAGGAATACTTCACCACATGAGGCACTCTCACACAACTCTGAGAGAACAAAACATCACTCACTGAGTAACACAACAACACAGGATTTGAAACCATGAATTTGTTCCAGTTTGAGGATGTTGTCTTTTGGCAGTCAGATGATTTCTTGTTTGTTCTGTATTTTTTGTAGTTAACATTAACACATCTTGTGTCTCCAAACAAGCCTTGGATAGGCCTACTAAGTCAATGGTCAGGGTTATGTTATCAGTTTCACGTCCACTCACTGATGAGCGCGGTGACGATGTCGTGCATGCTCTCCAGGAAGCTGGCGAGGTGCTGTGTGGATGTGTGATGAGGTGAGGTGATCTGAGCTACAACCGCCGCTGCCTCTGCCCTGGCTGCTTCCACGCTGCTTTCATCAGTCAAGATGTCTGCCAGACACAGGATGCCATCCACCTACAATAAGACAACATACAGTTTACACAATATAAACATGTATTATAATGTAATGGTATATGGACAGCCATACTACTATCAACAACTAGATGGGACTGTCCTACTCCCAGAAGATAAAGTAGTTTATTTTCTGCCAGTATCCCAGGATTGGAAAAATTAGCTTTTTAAGGCCTATTAAGACTTTTTAAGGATCCACAGATACCTGATGTTACCTGGACTGCATCTTTTCTCTCTTTATTTTTTAAATACCCAATAGTATAGTTATAAATCACTTTCACTAGGATCTGTCTCCAGGCCTGACTGCTGAACTAAACTCTCACTTCACATTTCATCTTAGCACGGCAGGGTTGACAAAACATCGGCAACATCACTGGCCATCCAGACAGTTTAGTGTCCACGGAGTCAACTTGGCTGGAACTTGCAGCTCGGTACGAAAGTGATCACAATTAAAACACACCACTCTGATTTAATTGCCACCCCCAGGGTGAATGTGCCGCTGAGAAACTCTTGTATATGTGACTGGCATCAATCCAGTGTGCATCATCAGGTTTGTAGATGAGCTCAGACTTCTAGAAGAGCAGCAAATTCTCTTCTGTTTAAAGGGAAGTTTGCTCATGGGGATGAGGTCATATTTATCACATCTTCGTGTTCGAATGTGTTTGTGTTCGTGTGTTGATTTGGTATTAGAGTATAGAGGCTTCAGGAAATAATAAAGATGTAGAACAGATTTTCATCCACTTGAGGGCAGTATTGCACAGTTCAGACAAACTTTACTCCAGCTGCTGATTGTTACTCTGTGTCTGCTGGCAGTCGTAATCAAGTCTTGCATATGAGTTGAAAGTCATCAGACACTCTGGAAATAATCCTTACTATCAATTAAAATTCATAGTCCTAAACTGCAGGATCATGGTTTCTAGGGTGGAGGTTCTGGTGAAAAATCCATTATCTGATACATCAGAAATCAGATATGTTATGCTCTGTATTACAGTAATTTTTTCATCACAATCATTATTTACTGGTCAAAAGCAAATTAATGTTTTTGATGATCAGCCAACATCAGCTCCTGAAAACAAAAGTTTAAAGACAAGCATCCAGAGTGAGGCAAACTGTCAGCCAGCCACACCTGTCAGTCTTATCTGCTGACGAGCATCAGTGCACTGAGCTTCACAGGGCAATACCCTATTTTTGTCTCCATGGACGTCAGCAGCACTGTGCCAGCGCGACCCACTGACGTGGAACAATCCACTCTCCACACCCCCGTTCATCTACTGTCCCCCCTCTGTTTCCCCCGTCCCTACCCACACCTCCTCCTCCTCCCTAAAATAGGATATTCCCCAACTCCTCATTTACCGTACACCGGATGTATCTCATTCAGTTTATTGTCAGGACCAACGCTCAATAACTTTTCTGCATTTTTAAGAGTAACAACTAAGTTTACGATGCCATTGGAAGTTTTAACTTGATACCATCCTGTTGAAAGTATTTCAGCTTGTGGCCATAGGAAATACACTGAACTGTGATTTCTGTTTCAGCAAAAAAATTTTAGAATCCTAAACCTACATACCAAATGAATTTATTTTTCATCTCATAAATTCAGTTGTTCTTAAAATATGGCACCTTGGAATGATTGGAACGTAGTGTCAATATGTTATGCTCCAGACAAGCAGTGTTTTTTTTTTTTATCACATTCACCTCTCAAATTGCCACATCCAGCCTACTGTATCTGGACTACTTGTATGACACGGCTGGTGTGTGGCAAGTCAATGGATGCGACAAGGTCAGTGCGTGTTGCACTTCAAGGAAATTATATCCTTTAATTACATTTTACAGGCTTTCAATGTTCAGTCTGACACAATATCAGTCCTTCGTACTTCTTTTTCTTAGTACATCTTGAGCAGCTTTGTTCATAATCAATACTCTTTAAATGCACCATTGTATGATTACATAATATTCCAGTAGGGATAAAGTTAAGAAGTATAGAACATCCACCAATAAGCAGTGCAGGTGCATACCGGCCCCTTTTCTCGATCATCCTTCAACAGTGACAGTTGTGTTTCTCAAGCCTGAGCGATTGCTGGTGAGCGGATGGTAGCGTAGACTTGCCTGACAGCCTCTCCCCCGGGATGAGGCTGCTAATCTGGGGCGGACTTTGGTTCCTGTTAAAGAGTTTTCACACTTGGATGATTCATGCTGTCCCAGCTGCTCTATATGTGAACACAGACACCGCTGTGGCATCATTATTCGCTGGAATCAGGTTATATTTGTCTTTCGGTAAACGCTTGCTTGACACAGGTGCGTCTGTTGTTTATTTTGGTTGAATTCTCGATAGAGAACAAACAAGGACAAACAAAGAAGGATGTATCATTAGCTTCCTCTCTCCCTGTCTCACCTTATTTCCTTTAAGCACGCACACACAGTGAGAAGTCATGTATGTCTAAATATTTGACCTGTCAGCTCAGCGGTCAGGAGGTTCCAAATAATGATCTCACCACAAATCATGACTCATCGTTTGTGTATGCACTGTATTATTCTGCCATTAGAAGAAAAACTTGACCTATGCACCGTATGATGCTTATTTTCTCAATCTCTTCTTCTAAAATTATACAGCGCAGATTAATGGCAGTTCCCCTGCCCCCCGATGTAACTGAACTTGGTGAACTCATTCATGAAAATTTAATCAAGTAATAAATAGAAAGCTGGAGAACTCAACTTCTGTAGTCAAAAGTTTCCCAAAAAAGTAACAATACAGCTACAGAGGTGAGACGCAAACAAAAACACTGATGTTGCTAAGATGCCAGTTTCTACACTGCATTTTCCAACTGAGTTTGCCAGTAGAAGAGGGTAAAATCACCTGCAACATGTGTATCCTCTTCTGTAACCATGAATGACCATAATGGCCAAAGGAGATCCTCCTCCTGACAGGAATTAACAGGGTGGTTACAAAACGACGCTTTAGCTTTTATAATCTAGCACCAGCAGCACTGGCACAAGATAATGTCATGAAATGGTAATCAAAACCAATATATACTTATTTTCAATCATTTAATTATTTTTAAGGACAGCCTATCACAATGAATAAACAAACAAATGCTTTTCTTCCCTGCTAAACCTTCATTAAACCATTGATCCTTCAATTCCATGAGCACACACTTTGTTTCTGTCCAGCCAAGCCTCCTCCTGCTGCCATTGTTGGCTCATATTCACCTGTGAAAATAAACTAGCCTCCCAGTCATAACATGGGAAGTGAGAGCATGGCTGAACGTGTACAACAGTAGACAGACTATACTGTGCTGCTGGGAAGAGGAACAGCCCTCTGTCTGAGCTACAACCTCAGCTGATCAGTGTAAACATAATCTGTCTGAACTGGTATTTTACTGGGAGTACTGTACTTACTTGAGATTAATGTCAACTCTCTCTCTCTCTC